TTTGTACTTGATTTGAAGGCACAGCTGAGGAGTATAAAGGGTGTTCCCTCTGGCCAGCAGGACCAAGTGTGGGAGAGCTTTCTCTCCCTTCCCATGTATCAGGATAAAAGGAACGGGGAGGTTGGGCATAGGAACTCTTTTCGGGGTAGGAAAGACGTTCCCTCTGGCCAAAATAACCTGATGAATGTCTTGAATTGTATCTTGGAGGATCATCTTGGAAGACCTGCAGGTCCTCTTGCTTGTTCCACACATGGTTTCGTGGAGACAAGAATTGTTCTCTTTCATGAACTGGAGAATTAAAGCCCTGCTCCTTCCAGTGATACTGGCTTGTTTCTGCCTCAGACAAAGTTCTTTTTGTGGGCAAAAATACTCCTTGAGGGGGAAGTGAGCTCAGTTGGTGCATTCCAGAAGGCTGGAACTGATCTGTGTCTTTCCTGATATTATAGGAGTTCTCAGCTTGTCCTAATGTATTGAACTGTGCATCCACGCCTGAAGTGCCTTCAGGTGGGAAACTATTGAGGCTGTTATCCCTGTAGACTGGATCATTATTCCATTGGCTTTGTGGATCAGAGCTAGGAAATGGTAATATTTGTCTTTGGTCTGATGGGTTCCTCTCTGGGTAATGGGGATGCTCTTGTTGTCCATACAAGTTAGGTCTAGCATTTATTGATGGGTTGTTGTTGTTGCTGTTTATGTCCTGGAGATTGCCTCTCTGATTGGAGCTCTCCCCATAACCTGATGGATATGTTGGGTTTTCAGGATGCCCAGAGGGATTCCCTCTAGAAATGTAAGTGTTGTGCCTTGACTCATCCATACCTGGATAGGGTTTGTAGACATGCAGACCATTTCCTGTGGATTGCTGCTTGTCTGAGGGCAAGTTCTGAATTATGTGATTGCTATTCGGAGAGCTGGCCCTATGAATTGATTGATCCATAACATTCTGTGCTGCCACATCACCTTTTGAGACATGAAGAGTAGGTGATATCGTTGGGACCCCATTTACAATAAGCAGTCTGCTTTCAAGGTTTGGAGAATTGGCCCCACTGTCAGTTACACTGAGCCCAGAATTGGTAGCATTCCCTGCTTGGCTGGATGGATTGGAAAGAGTTGAATTTGTGTCTGTTGCATTGGTTGCAGGATCAGCTGCTGGGCTTTCTGTATTGGGGGCTTCTTTTTCTTTGGGTTTCTCATAGTCTTGTTCAAACTCTTCAGAATTATAGGGCCTGACTCCCAGTCCTGGATAGCCATATCCATAGTACGGTGTCTGCAAATACATTTAAGAGAATGTAAACATGTAAAACTATCATAAGCTAATTCATTCTAGTGATATAGTTCTTTTAATTGCTGTTTCAATGGGATGCAGGTGAGGAACGTCGGTGGCCACAGTTCTACTGAGACTTACGATACAAAGGCCTATCCTAGGCTTTTCTTCCTCAAACGGCAGTCTAAGAACTGGTGGTGGAAAGTGCTGTCAAGTCACAGCTGACTTGTGATGACTCCATAGGGGTCCCCATAGGGGTCTGTGTAGCAACCCTGGACTTCTTGGTGGTCTCCCATCCAAGTACTAACCAGGGCCCTGCTTAGCTTCTGAGATACGGTAAGACTGGCCATCCATCCTAAAAACTAGAACTTGTGAATGTTATAGCTCTTATGTGTGCCACCTGGCTGTAATCAAAGTCTGCCTGAAGAATCATGATAGCTCCCAAATAACCATTGACTTATCAAGGACAAATCTTGCAGATCCCCATGGCAGACTGACCCTTTCTCTTGTGACCTTTTAGTGGGTGTAGACTTTCCAATTTCCGGGGGGGGGGGCTGGGGCTGGGCCAGAGGCATTGCTTTGCTAGGAGCAAGGGTGGCTCCCGGGGGAGGCTGAGCACCTTCCTGAAAATTTCAGCGGGGGCTGCCGCCCCGCCGCCCCCACGAAGATTACGCCAATGCGATTAAAACACACTACCCCTCTTATACTTGTTGTATTTACCCCTTCCTCATTGCTGATTGGTGGTCGTCCAAATCCAGCAGGCATACGCTGTGGAAACAGAAACATCAAACTTGAGGAAGGGCTAGGCAACAGAAGGTCATAAAAATTAGATTACTTCTATGCTCATGCAAGTCTCAGCAGAATTATACTCGCCTTAGCCCACTGACTTCAACAGACTTAGAAGGGTATAACTCTCCATAGGATTGCACTATGAATGACATAAGCATCAGAACGTTTCCTTCCTCAGCCCAATAAGTTTAATGAATACTCGAGGGGGATTAATAAATTCTACCAAAATGAGATGCCTAAACTTTCTTTTATTTAATTAATTAATTTACATTCTCCAGAGAGGAGATCAACAGCATCTTGGACTTCCCAAAAGGAACTCTCTTCACCTTACAGTGGGTTTGTTTGTTCATTTTGAAAATTTACCTCGAGATGAAATACACAGGATTTAAGCAACACAAATTCTATTAAAACATCCATATTCTAAAAAAACAGTACAAACCTCCCAGCAACAACAGCAACAGCACAACCCTAAAAACCCTGGCTGAACAACTTCTTCAATATTTTCCTAAAGCTCAGTAAGGATTATTTTATATAAAGAGGGACAATCTAGAGAGGGCAACTCAAAATGGCTGCTGCGGGTGGTGGAGCCAACCACAAAATGTCAGGGAATGAGGTTATACATAATTCTAATAGTAACCCTTCAATGTTTCAGGCAGAAGTTCTGCTTTACAGGATGCCTTTTAAAATGAACATATTGTTTTAAAAAATTTTTTGCAGAGACAGAGCTTACCTTACTCTGTGAAGATCTTTGTGCTGTGGTGGCAGCTGCTGCCATAGGAACTTTCAAAAAAAATCTCCACAGTCAATCAGACCTCTAGTGGCCAATCAGAAGCCCTCATGGGCAAAAGCCCCACCTGGCCCTCCTTACTTTCTAAAAATACTAAGCGAGTGCCTGAAAAGTTGTTGGTGGGCACCATGTTATGGACTACTGATCTAGCAGGGCCTTCTCTGGTGTACCTTCACTATCTCGTGTGGCCACAGAAGACTGACCAGTGCCCCTTGTGGCTGAGGGCCAAGCTACAAAATCAGCAGAATTATACAGTTCAGCTCATGGTCGAAAGCAAAAGAGAATCCATGTATTTCAATGCTCTTCCCAAACTGCAGGCTAGTAAGAAAGCTTGGTTATGACCAGACCAAGGGTACATGCATGTTACTTGTTGGCATGTGTTTTATGACTCTGCTCAGCAAAGTCTGAAGCATTCCTCCAACTTAAGTGGTAGATCCACTTAAGTTAGCAGTGGTAGAGCCATTTAAGTTGGAGGGAGGCTGTTTTGACCAGAAGAATGCTTCGTACTTTGCTCAATGGAGTGGTAGGACACATGCCAGTATTTTGATAATGGCATTACCAAGACAACAACAGCTTTGTATCTGTCTTGATTGCCAAAACCACTTTAACTTTGGAACTGAAATAAATGGAAATTCCCTAGTTTGCTTCCCTCTCCCAGACCCAAGAAGCATGAAGTCTTTAAACTGGATGCCTTACTCCGTGAAATGGGCTAAATGGTTGTGGGTGGAAGCCTCCTTGACTGAGAATCTACAAGATAAGAGGGAAAAAATAGTGACATGTTAGCATAATGTTGGTTTTGTTATTGATAATAAATGGCGTCAGTATTCATGAAGCAGTGGCTGGAGGGTAGGGTTTAGACACGGGAGACTCAGATATGAAGCTAAAGCCATGCTCTGAGCTCCTTGGCTGTAAAGCTGGGTACTAGACTAAAGGCTAGTTCATGGTCAAAGCGCAGAGGTGTACATGTGGCAGGCTGAGGAATAACCTTCCCTACTGTGCATGGGATTTTTAATGTGAGCTGAAGTCTGTCAGCATAAACGCCAACATAAGCAGGCCTTGTTTCTATGATCCAGCTGTTCCTGTTCTCCTGCAGATGTCAGAGCTAGCTGGTTCCTAGCACTGTGGGCTTGAACCAGGAGCTCTTTGGATCAGGCACCAGTTCCTTGCTTCAGGGAAAGGCATTACAGGGAGTTTAAAGGCCATAAGACAGTGTGGGATAGTGTTGGGGTCAGATTCCCATTCTGACATGAAGAGTACTGGGTAACCTTGGGCATCTTTCCACCTTACCTACCTCACAAAGGAGTTCTACAGATAAAATCGGGAAGGGAGGGCCATGTACACCCCTCTGAGATCCTTGGACAAAAGCAAGATTAAAAATGCACCAGATAAGACAGTCAGATCTATTTTTTTGGTTCTTATATAGCAACATCAACAAGGGTTCCTCAGTCTGAGCAACTTGTCATCATGGGAGGCCATGCGGATACTCTACTGTGCTATCATAATGTTTCCATGGCTTCCTCCCATACTTTTAAGTATCTTCAGACTTCCAAGCTAATGGAGCGAGGCCTTATTGCCAGCAACCTGGGTCCCTGACAGCTATGTAGGTACTGAGGTGCATAGCCCCTATTTCTTACTAAGTGTTGTCTATGTGAAGTGAAATGCCACAGCTGTATGCTACATCAGGGGTCCCTGACCCTTTTGAGCCTGTGGGCATCTTTGAAATTCTGACACAGGGCGGTGGGTACAACCACAAAGTGGCTGCCGCAGAAGACAAAGCCAGCCAGAAATATGGCTGCCACGGGAGTTGGACCCAGCCACAAAAAGTCAGGGAGTGAGGCTGTGAATAACTCTAACAGTAAGTCTTCGACATTGCAGGCAGAAGCTCTGTTTAAGAGGATGCCTTGTAAAATGAAAATGTCATTTACAAATATTTTCTTGCATACACACTGCTCACCTTCACTGACACATGGAAGATCCTTCTGCTGTGGTGACACCAAAAACAATCTGCACAGCCCATCAGATCTCCAATGGCCATTTAGCAGCCCTGACGGACAAAAGCCCCATCTGCTTTCTAAAAGCACTTGGCAAGTGCCAGGAAAGGTGGAGGTGGGCACCACGGTTGTGTCACCTGTATGGGACTTGTATGAACCATCCTCTCTTAATTAGTACTCAAGTAAATGATAGTGATAGATTTATTTGATATAGTGACAGATTTCTTCTGCACCAAGTTCATCTTGGCCACTGAAATGCATCCCAGATTAGGAACTCTCCAAATGGAGATCCCTTCTTAAATATATGTTAGCCACTGGGAACTTATCAGTCTACCCTTATTAAGGTTGCAGCTGTCATTAATGCAAAACTAGTAGCTTCAATTAACAGAAACCTCGTTGATAAATCTTTTGATGTTAAATCAATTAAACTTGCACGGATAAAAATAACAGGTCTGAAGAAGAAAGCATTCCCTTTGGTTTCTAGGCCATGAATTTTATGTGCCACAACACACTCTGTTTCAGAAAAGACCATCCTTCCTGTCTATGAAAGAGGAATGCTTCTTCAAGGAAAACACCTGCTGCGTGTGGAGTTGTAATCTACTCCCCAAATAACTGGGATGTACCATTTAATCAATCCACGTTTATTCAATAAACACAGCAGCTGTGAAAACTGTTGCCACATTTCTCCAGTGAAATTAGAAACATCGGCTCACCTGTGGAAAATGCCAGAGATGTTGCTGATTTGGAAACAATATCTGTGGGGAGGAGAGCAGATGTCATGTATAGAATAAAAACATTTTGCATATGAAAAAGTTGTCTATAATTCTGCAATCACAATACATATGAAGAATTTGTAAGAAATCTTACCGTCCTCCCTCCCCTAGTTTAACCAAAACATTCAGAAGCATTGAAACAAAGTTTGAGTCCAGAGGCACCTTTAAGACCAATGAAGTTTAATTCTGGGTATAAGTTTTCGTGTGCAAGCACACTTCTTCAGATACATTGAAACACACAGAAGCATGTTCTTTATCATAAGCCCTTTTGCAAGATTAGTTTGCCACATAAAACTACTGAAGGGTCAGCATGCGATGAATGTATGAAATGACTGTTTCAATGTTCATTCTCATCCATCACTGCTCTGCATAAAATGGCCACAAGGCACAGTAAATGCTCATTTATCCAGAAGAGTTTATCACATTACAAAATTCATATCCTGAAGTTTCTTCTATGTATTGAACAGCACACAAACAGACTCAGAAGGCAGAATCCAAAAGGGACAGGAAATACCTTATTGATATTGATTGTTATTTTCTGAGGTGTTTTGAGTGGCATCCTGTCCTCGACTTCCTTCCCTGTCCCTCAGCCCCAGTTCTACATGTGCTGCCCACTAGGTGAGGGTAGAAGCTGGTGACAGGAACGTAGGAGGAGTGGGTGGTAGGAACTGCAGTTGCCATGACGCCTGCTTTAGCAACATACGTCAAGGGCTATCCCCAAGGCAAAGTGGCAACCCTAAAAACAACATCTGAGGGGATGTTAAGGTGATATTGTAATTGTCAAGTGAAGCACAGACCCACATCAACTTTCTCTCAAGGCCTAGGCACATATGACATTTTCCCCACATGCAGGGCTATTTTTGGGCAGGAACGCACAGGAACGGAGTTCCGGCTGGCTCCCAAGTTGGCCACGCCCAGCAGGAACTCATTAGCATAATAGGCCACACCCAACAGCAGGAACTCATTAGGATTGGCTACATTAGGGGTGTGTGGCCTAACATGCAAAGGAGTTCCTGCTACAAAAAAAGGCCCTGGGTTTTGACAACAAAAAAGGTAAACAGAATAACAAGCAAAAGGTGGGTGTGGCTGGATAGCCACACTTCTGGTAACATGGGGGTGCGGCATAATGTGCTAATGAGCTGTGCTGTCAGGGGTGTGGCCCAATATGCTAATGAGTTCCTGCTGTTGGGTGTGGCCTATTATGCTAATGAGTCCCTGCTCGGCTTTTTCTACAAAAAGAGCCCTGCCCACATGTACACATACAGGTCAGTTGTATTGTGCCATGTCTGCCTGGACAGGGGAGCCACTCGTTTGTCTTCCAGTGTAGAAGGAATCTGATTAAAATCAGGAAAAGAACTGAGCTCGGTGATGAGGAAAAGGAGGTTTGAGACTGCTACTTGAAATAGGGAAGCTGAAAGTACTGCTATGAGGTGAGGAATGAAGGGGCTGAGGGGGAAGGAGAAGGAGGGAATGGGGAAGAAGAGGGGGAAAGGGTGGTATTGGTGTTTTGTGTTTATTTTAATTTCTTATAAAGTTAATTCAGTAGAGTTAGCAGAGTATAAAAAAGTCTGAGTCCATGGTGGTTTAAAAATATTAAAAGTTTACTATCAACCTAACAAGGGTAGGGTAAACAGGATGAAAAATAACAAAGAGCTTTATTTCTACATCCTCATTTCTAGATAGCTTACTTAGATCTTCCTAAGACTAAAATAAGACATCTTAACTCATCCTTAGGCTAATGGAGACTAGAGCTTCTTCTTGCTCTGGACAAAGAGTCATAAAATGCTAATTCTAGGTACTCTATCTTCCAATCAGGACAACAAACTACATCTCAATCTGGCGGGCTTTCTAGCTCTCTAAGCAGATAGGATACAAACAAACATGTGGTTCAGATAGAAGTGTTCTAACTTGTAACATCCAACAGGTAGCCTGTAAGCTCCTGCTCCCTAAAGCCACCTCATGGCATAAAGGAAAGAGAATGAGGACATGACTGTGGTGATAATGACAGAGGAGGATGTGCCCAGTAGAAAAACGTGGCATTGTTTTGCCCTCATGGCAGGCACCTCCCCCCCCTTCTCTCCTTGCCTCACGGTTCAATTTTCAACATTTCCCCACTTTGTCCTACCCAAGCAGCAAGCACACATCCAGATAGGCCCCAGGCTGCTCAGCCAAATACTTTGTTAACACAGGGCTTTGTATCTGCCTCTCCAAACCTGAATAAACTTTTATCTCACAAACAACCCATAACCAACAAGCCACAGAATAAACCTGAATAAAATGTTAGATCACAAACAACCTATAACCCAAAAGCCATAGAATGAACCTGAATAAACTTTACCCCACAAGCCACAAGTAAACCTGAATAAAATGTTACCCTACAAACCAGCTAAAACCCACAAGCCACAGAATAAACCTGAATAAAACTTTAACCCATCAACAATCTATAACCCACAAACCATAGATTAATCCTAATAAAATGTTACTCCATCAACCCTCTATAACCCACAAGCCACAGAATAAGCCTGAATAAAACACCCTATAACCCAGAAGTTCTGCCATTTGGAGAATAAAGTTGGGTGTGCAGATTTTGAATTAGTTTAGAGCTTGCTGTTGGCTTACAGATTGTGTATTGAAGCCAGTTGGAAAAGAAAAAAAAGAAACATTATTGGATTTGTTTGTAGTTGGAAAATACCTTTTTAAAAAATCAACTTAAATTTTATTGTCGACAACAGAACTCTTAAAGTTTATGCAGATAAACTCATGGGAAAAATACACTTTATTTTGGAACACTACATTCTGAAAGAGGGTATTGACTTATTTTTTTTAAAGCTCCCTAAACAATGTTTGATACTGTATCGTTTGTAACACTTTCTAATAAATAACACACACGCGCGTGCTGGTTTATGTAGGGGTAGGCAAAATGTCAAGGAAAAGGAGCCTCAGGACTTTTGCTGTTTTTCCTACTGAGAAATGAGGTTGTCATTTTTCTTAAAGGAGGCTCCTGGGCCTTGCACAGCCACATGACAAGCAAAAACACAGCAGGTTCTTAGAGTGCAACAATGAGAAAATCTGCTCTGCCTGAATTTCTGCCAGTGATACAACTGCCGCGAACACAGAGCCTTATGTTGGGGGGGGGGGGGGGAGAAAGGCATTCAACCTGATTTTCACACTGCATTGCTGAATCAAACAAAAGAGTGCTGCTTTACAAGAAAGAACATAAGACAATCCCTGCTGTGTTGGACACAAAGGGTGTCTAAGTCAGCCTTTTATTTGGTCAAAGCAACTCTTCTATAAAGCTTACATAATCCACAAGGGTCTGCCAAACCAACTGTTGCTGGGTTGTAGAGAAGAGTAAGAGTCCAGTAGCACCTTAAAGACTAACAGAATCTGAAGAAGTGAGGAGTGACTCCCGAAAGCTCATCCCCTGCCACAAATTTTGTTAGTTTTTAAGGTGCTGCTGGACTCTTAACTCTTTTCTACTGCTACAGGCAGACTAACACAGCTACCCATCTCACACGTTGCTGGATAGAACCTCTGGCCGGTAAGGGCTTTATTACTTATCACTCCAAGTGCTGGGTGCATGTTCTCTCCTTGGCTGCCTCTGTATTTAGGAGTTGCTCTAATAACCAACCTGGATACAGAACAAAGTTTGGATCCAGTGGCACCTTTAAGACCAACAAAGTTTTATTCTGGGTATAAGCTTTCATGTGCATGCACACTTCTTCAGATACAGTGTGCATGCACACAAAAGCTCATACCCAGAATAAAACTTTGTTGGACTTAGAAGTGCCACTGGACTCAGACCTTATTCTGCTGCCTCAGACCAACATGACTTCCCACCTGAATCAACCTGAATACAATTGGGCATGTGACTTAAAAAAAATTTTTAGGGCATCAGAGCTGCTTGCTTACCTGAGGTTGTTGCTGTTTGACCCCCTTGGATTGATGCACTGGCACTTGATGGGGAGTCTGCGGAGGACTGGTATTTGGAGGCTTCTTTGGTGGCAGCTGTATTCTTGGGCGTGGCTGTTGCTGTATAGGCTTGTGTGGCTGCTGCGGCATCTGTGGCCTCAGCTGTGGCCTCAGCTGTGGCAGCTGTGGCCTGTGGATGGGCTGCCTAGCCCCTAGCGTTTGGTGTGGCTTGCGCTGGGGCAGCCTAGCGGCTTGATGTACTGGGGTTTGTTGTGGCCATAAGTAAAATCTTTGCAGAGGCTGAGGGAACAACTGTGGGTAACTTGGGCGATAGCCGTATAAGAAAGGTGACAACTGAGTCAGCTGAAATAGAATTTTGGGAGAAAAAGACACACACCATGAGATACCGTTACCGTCATGGCACTTAGCTTCCAGCAAGCATTTCCTTCTGTTATACACTTTCTGCTTCCTTGAGCAATCAGAAGTTCCAGAGACACCACTACAGGGATGTTTCCTTCAGATGCTAGAGCCCTGGAGACTTATGTGTCTTTATTTATAAATCTACAGTTACGGTAGTGTGCCAAATGAATGTGCTCCTGAAAGCAGACTGCGCAAGGTTTGGAGAGGGGAGGGGCCTCATCAGGGCACAATGCCATAGAGTCCACCCTCCACAGCAGCCATTTTCTCAAGGGGAACTGATCTATATGATCTGGAGATCAATTGTAATACCAGGAGATCTCCAGGCCCCACCTGGAGGTTAGCAACACAAGTTATACTTTGATCAAAACCAGGGCTCTTTTTGCAGAAAAAGCCCAGCAGGAACTCATTAGCATAATAGGCCACACCCAACAGCAGAAACACATTAGCATATTAGGCCACACCCCTGACAGGCCAGCTCATTAGCCCATTAGGCCGCACCCCCATGTTACCAGAAGTGTGGCTATCCAGCCACACCCACCTTTTGCTTCTTATTCTGTTTGCCTTGTTTGTTGTCAAAACCCAGGGCATTTTTAGTAGCAGGAACTCCTTTGCATGTTAGGCCACACACCCCTAATGTAGCCAATCCTAATGAGTTTCTGCTGTTGGGTGTGGCCTATTATGCTAATGAGTTCCTGCTGGGCGTGGCCAACTCAGGAGCCAGCCGGAACTCCGTTCCTGTGCGTTCCTGCCCAAAAATAGCCCTGGGGTTAGGGATGCCAGCCTCCAGGTTCAACCGGCAGGGAAGGTTCATAACATATCTCTGTATAGGTAAGCCTTGGGGGGGGGGGACTTCCTGGGACGGGTGAATGAATGTATCTTGTATTGTAGAGGTGATTTCTGTCTTCCATGGTCTATTTTTTTAAACTAGAAATTACTTGACTCTCTCCATTCCATAGTTCTCCATTTTGCTCCATTTTCCTTTCCTTTTCCCTTACCCATCCCTGTCTTTCTTTGTGCCTTGCCTGCCTGTGCTTTTCTTGCCCAACTCATCTAAAGTGTTGGAGCGAAGCTGCAGTGGCCATTTGAGATTACCAGAATGGCCCAAAACAACCCAGAATGGTTGCCAAGATGTCATGAGGAAAGCCTGAGAGATCTTGACATTTAAAAACTTTTAAAATTCATCCCTTCTATTGTTTTAAAATTTAAGGTGGGTTGGTTTTTGTTGGGTTTTTCTTGCAAACAAGCCCCCCCCCCCCAAGTTTTTAGAAAGATCTCTCTCCTCTGTACATGGCTTTCATCTGTGGATAAGGAAGCGTGGTGGCAGGTGGAGGCGGCAGGGCACTTGGGGCCCTTTTGGCCTCTCAGTCTGTCTCTGCCTGTTATGTAATTTGTGGCAGCTTTTTTCATGCCTATCTCAAAATTATTCAGCAGGGAAGTGGATGAATAATTTATATTCAGTGGTACATAAAGTCCATGTTTCAAGAATCAAGGAAAGTGCGAACTTACTTGTGGTGAGTTCATATAAGCATATGGACCAAACTGCATCATCTGTGAGCAAGCATATTTTATTAGGCTGTTTTTCATTTAAATCCATACCACAAACAATAACACAACACAACGCATGAATGTTTTCCTGTTGCTGTTTATATGCATGATAAAGTAAGTCCCCCCCAATAGTCTGACTTCATTGAAATCAGATTCAGTTGAGTAGCACTGCAGCAGTATACATGATCAGTGAGCAAGTAACAAAATGCCAGAAATGCAAATGTACTGTATAAGTACTTGTGTTTTAATATATTTTAACCTTTTAATGTAAGCTGCCCTGAGCCTAGGCTTCCCAAGTCCCCCCAGGGGGGGGCGGGGGGAACCCCACCCTGGCGTGCGTGTCACCAGGAAGTGACGTTATGACGCTGGGCATGCTGGGGGCGGGGCCACGGTCATCCGAGGGAAAACTCTATGGTTTTCCCTCAGATGGTCGTGGCCCCGCCCCCAGCGTGCCCGGCGTCATAACGTCACTTCCTGGTGACGTGCGCGTGTGCTCCAGCCGCAGACTGGGAATCCCCAGGTAAGTAGATTTTTAGACTTGGCAACCCTACTGGAGCCTGCCTTAGCAGGGAGGGTGGGATAAAAATTGAAGTAATAAATAAATAAATAAATAAGCAAGCAAGCATGGAAACCTTGAAATGATTTACTTCAAATCAACCAAGTTGGCTAGATAATAAATTGAGGACCCCAGTCTTACGGGTAGGAATTTAAAAATTTGAACATTTTAATTTGGGTGTAATAGAAATTTTGCTCTCAATTTCACTCATGGGGGGGGATCTTTTCAAATTAGTTCAGAAGACATATCTCCGTATTGCACCTCTCTTTGGTGGTTGTGATGCCTAAATTGTCTGAGTGCAGCGAGAAAGGCTTTATAGCTAGCAGACACTAATAGTGATATTCAGCCTGACCACACCATAAGACGAATCCCAGGATATGGTTGGAGGGCAACAAATACAACAATCTGGAAGCAAAGAGGTCTGGGTCTTGTTGTTTTCTAGGTGGGAAACCTGAGAGGAGCCCCAGGAAAGCCACCTTGAGTTCCATGAAGGAAGGAGGACAGCAGATAAATGTAATAAAAGGTGATCCCCAGTGTGGTACCTCAAAGCAATGAGCCAATCCTAGCAGGGGGTGCTTTAGAAGCCCACAGAAAGCCATCATTTTTGGGTCCACAAAGAGTACTTTTAAGGAAATAACTACCCTCAGTATATAAGTGAATGCTTGGTTGTGGAATCAGCCAACGTTTTGTGAATGATCCCACTTCTCATGGCAGCCATTTTGTGGTGGCACCCATTACTCTTATTCAAAAGTGTTCACAGGCTCATCAAGGTTGAGGATCCCTGCAGTAAGTACTAATTAATACTGTAGTTGGCCTAGGGAGGTCTTCTGCCCCCACCAGCAGTTCCCACAGCCACAGCTGGACAGCGGGGAATTTCTGGGGGGAAATGGGGGAAAGTCAGCATTGTGGGCAACACCAGGATGTCACTTCTGCATGACCCAGAAGTCATGCCCTTGCATCAGAGATAGCTCCATCTTTCTCTCAAAACTCTATGGTTAATCTGTAGAGTATCGGCTTTCTACACCGAGATGTGCGTCATAACATTACTGGATAGCTCCCACTAGAATTCTCCTACCGGTTGCCAGCTGGCAACCCTAAGTTGGCTCTCTCTGGTCGAACTCAGAAGTCCAGCACCCTCCTTTTAATCTTAGAAAACAAAACAACAAGATACGTGCTTACTTCTTCACTCTTGCTCCCAAATCCTGCTCTGCGGGGTTTGCGCAGCTAAAGTGAAAAAAGAACAACAGGAGGGCTGAGATCTCATACAGAAACAGATTCGTTTTAAAAGTAAGCATTGTGGACGGGTTAGTACTGATATACTCACCAGTATTGCACAAGATGTGCCCACAAGGCATAGGTACATGAGGATTATCTTCATCCTTCTTCCCAATCTAAAAAAAAATATCACATACACATGTGTTTAGCACATGGGGGTGATTATATCATGAAAATATTTTACGTGTGGGTGTCTTTGGATTGCCCTTACTTGGATAGCCTAGGCTAGCCTGATCTCATCAGATCTTGGAAGCTAAGCAAGGTCAGCCCCTGGGTAGTATTGGGATGGGAGGCCACCAAGGAATACTTGGATCACTATGCAGAGGAAGGCAAATGGCAAACCACCTCTGAACGTCTCTTGCCTTGAAAACCCCACAGGGTCACCATAAGTCACCTGTGACTTGACAGCTTCACAAAGTGTGCAATCTAATGCTGCCAGTGCATGTGGAGAGGGTGCATTGACGGCATACTCATTCAGAAATGTCATATGCTTCTGTGGTTGTAGTTGACAAATGAAAAAATATATATTTTTAGCCTTGGAAGTGATGTTTCATTATTTCACCAATAATTCCAACATTGCATGGGGTTGACAGTCAACTGTAATGTGAAACTAATACCCAAGTTCTGTCTGTGGTCGTTCATTTGTAACAGCTTTGTGTGTGCACGTGAAAAACATCAGCTGATGTCGCTGTCGATGTGTGATGAACACCCATGCTTGAATTGATGCTAATATACGGTGTTAAGAAGGAATGTTGCAGCCTGAAGGGTAATGTGGAGTAGAAGAACTTTGCAGTATATAATGCCCCTTGCTCGTTCAGGTAGAGAAGATCTTGATCTTTTGGAATGCGTCATTGCCCAACAATTACGTTTGTTTTAGTCAGTTTCCTATGACCTTGCTCTGTAAAAAGCTCAAATAGATGAAATTCTGGGAGCCTTCAACTGGTGTTCCCAGTGTTTTTTTCCTCCATCTAAATACCAGGCATGGGGGCCCCCAGATTGGATCAGAACCATGGTGTAAGGGGAGGTGGTTTTAAGTCTTCTGGCCTGTGTTATTTTCTTGACTTGAAATGGCCCTGGAGAGCTCCTGTTTGGCCTGGTGGAGCAAACATCCAGGTGCCTGTATCAGTGAGCATGGTTTAAAGCCCTCTTCCTTTGCTTATACTAATGGTCTCACTAATAATAATGGTCTCAGTTCAAATCAAGCCCACGTGTACGCGACTTTTACAATAGTGAAATGTTCAGAGCCACATTCATAAAATTTCCAGGATCTTGTCTGTCGTAAATCATTGCTATGTGAAACTGCAAGTGAGACGCTCTGGCCAAGATTCTAAAGGCCTCACTGGGAGGACATCATCAGGTGTTCTTTGATTCTCTGGCTTTCAAGAGAGCTGAAGAGAATGCTGCAGATACCTAGTTAGGCATGCTCAAGACCACTGAATTCAAAAAAGTCTAGGTGAATTTAAAAATCCCTTCATCCCATGCCCCATTAACAGAACTATGTTTTGGCTGAATTTTATTTGATGTGTTTTATCTATTGTAAGCCACCTTGAGTTCCATAAGGAAGGAAGGTGGCTAATAAATGTTTTAAATAAATAAATAGAAACCATTTTTACAAAATAGTAATGAGGATTTGAGAACAGACAGCAGCTGATGAGGTAAAATAGTTCCCGGAATGTACCACTGCAGACTGAAACGGAGTTGAATTCGGCTCATTTTTTTAAAAAATCCCTGTGTCCAAAACAAAATATTGAAGAAAAGGCTAGGCTACAACCCTTTTCCCTGACACTGAGTTTTGTTAGCTGTTGTAATGATGAAACATTCAGTTATGTAATCCACCTCTGTCTGCAGTCTTAGCTGATATAGTCCAGGATTCCTTTTACTTCATGATCTGCTATTCATGTAGACTAGTTCTGACCAGGAACGATCTGAATGCAAACAGTGTGAAATGTCTAAGGGAAACAATATGAACATAGGAAAAGGTAAAGGTTCCCTTGCTTGAAAGCCAGTCAAGTCCGACTCTAGGGTTGCGGTGCTCATCTCCGTTTCAAAGCTGAAGAGCCAGCACTGTCCGAAAATGTTTCCGTAGTCATGTGGCCGGCATGACTAAACACCAAGGTGCACAGAACGCTGTTACCTTCCCACCGAAGTGGTACCTATTTATCTACTTGCAATTTCTTGCTTTCGAACTGCTAGGTTGGCAGGAGCTGGAACTAGAGACAGGAGCTCACTCCATCATGCGGCAACCCGGGTCTCGAACTGCTGAACTACTGACCTTCCACAGCCTGAAGTTCAGCTTTTTAACCACTTGAGCCACCGCAGCTCCAATATGAACATACCTGGTGATAACTTTATATTGTAAATGTTACTTTCTGTATCATAGAGCCTCCTGTATTAAATTGGATAAGAATGCATCCCACTACAGCTACATGACACCTGTAAGAAAAAAAAAATCATAATGTAGTATCAGTTGAATATCTGTGTTTAGTCTGTAGTAGCAGAACAAAATTTCATAGCACCTTAAAGACCAACAAAATTGTCTAGGGTGTAAGCTTGCATAAGTCAAAGCTCCCTTTGTCTGACACCAGCTAACCTGTCATGTAAAAATGCAGAGTGTTGTTAGAATAATAGGTTGTTTTTAATAAAATTAAGTATTGTGTGACCTCACTACTACCACAGTTATCCAATGAACTGAGCTTTGACTGACAAAAGCTTATACCATGAAATAATTTTTTGGTCTTTAAAGATGCTACTCAACTCAGATTTTGTTCTAAGAATAATGTGCTTGGGGTTTTTTTAAAGGTAGTATTGAAAAACACTTTAACCCCCCCAAATCGTGTGCAACTATTATGGCACCTGAAACAATGCATCAGAATTACCAGTGTCCCTTGTAACTAAAGTGAGGCAGGTTCATTTGGCTTGACCACACGTCACTTCCAGTAATCATAACCAAGTGTGTGAGTTTGTGTTATAGTTGCTTCTGGAGATTTTTTTAATGCACACTCAAGATCCTCCATGCTCAAAAGGAGTAGTGCTAAGCAGTCATGTAAAACTGTAGAACATTGTTAGTCTAGGTTGGTTTTAACAGAATGCAATACTACTGCTATGGTCACCCATTCATTCCACAGGAGCACCACTTCGAAGAGAGGATGGAGGGTGGTAGCCCAAGCTCCTCTTTTACCCCAAAACACAGATTTTAGAAAGTCCCACCACCATGCCAGCATTCTCCCCCAAATGCTTCTGATGCTTCTGGGTTGGCCATTAAAAGGTCAAGGGCTGGACCTGACCTTTGGGCAGCCAATTCTTTTTAAAAATTATTAGTTTTAAATAATATGTAAAAATTATTAGTTCGTCATTTCTGGTAATGTATTTACAGCAATGGGTACAGAGATTCCCAGTGCAATGCTTAAAAAAACTTTCCTGGGGGTAAGCCCCAGTGAATATACCTGGGTAGGATGCTGAGTAGCCTTCCTTGGGATTACTCTCTAGACATCAAATTGACTAAGGAAATGCATCATTCAAACAGTGCAATCTGATAGACAGTTCTGTTTATTTCAACAGAATTTGCTTCCATGTTATGTGCATTTTGAATTGTCACTTAGATGTAATCTATTTAAGCCTATGCAATCTTTAACAAATGTATTCATACAATCGGTATGAGAGGATATCATGACTGTAAGCTTTAAAAGTTTGAGGTATGGTTCCAGCTGTAATACAATTTTCTGTTGTCTTAACTTGATCAAAATAAAACAAAAGTCCAGTGGCACTTAAAGACTAACAACATTTATATCAACACGAGCTTTCATGAGTCACGGCTCTGTGACTTTTGCTACAATAGGTTAACACTTGACTTGATCAGCAAGGCCAAAAGCTCTTAACAAAAATAGCACACTTTTAAATCCACTGAAACTCCAAAGGACAGCACAGAAGGGATTTGTGTATACTATGGGAGATTTGTCCACAGTTTTCCACAAGCAGGAGCTATAGAAAACTCAAAAACACTGTGGTCTGTTCAGGAAAATCTTGAAGAGAACAGTTAGCATTCCATCCTATGTTCCTTTACAGTCAGAACATTTTACAAGAAACTTTTCATGACTTTCTAATATAAAATAGAATGGAAATCACAAAATATGGTTTGGACTTACATATCTAAATCTCAAGGATCATCACTACACACACCTTTGACTTGTAGAATGTAGAATTTCTTTTTAATTGTTTTGACCAGCAAATATTTGGGACAAAATCCATCCCAAGGTAAGCATGTTTAAGCCCCGATGATTTCAATGTGCTTGAATTTTCCAGGGAGTTATCCTAAACAGATCTACACAGAAGTAAGTCCCATGTATTCAGTGGAGCATACACCAGAGAAAGTGGATTTAAGATTGCAGCCCCATGGACTAAAAAGTATTTAACCTTGATTGAACCCCACCCCCAATTTTCTTTTACTTGTAAACAAACGGATCTTTTTCTATGGGATTTTTTTTAAAAAAAATGCAAAAATGAAATATCTATCAATATGATGTTTTTTCTTTTAAAAATCAATTGTTATAGTAATTAGAATAATAAATTAAAAGTTCAAAACTCAAACTGGAGAATAACAGTAATAGCAATAATAATTACCTCTGGCATGTGGGAGAGTATTCTTGGGGTCTTCAGATGGGGCGAGGGGGGGAAATCTAAGCCTCAATAGCCAAGCAATTGGCTCTCCATTCTAAAGTTAACAGCTGAGCAACATTTAAATGTCGTTGTACAAACTTGGAACCAATCAGTATCCATGAGACGTTTGACGTCACTCTAGGCTTCAGCCTGGCACCTGATATAGTATGTAGGGTTTTGAATATGTTATTACAGAAGTTGCCAGATCTCAAAGTCTCTTATTATATTTAATAACAAGTCCGGGAGAAAAGGGCTTAGAACAGTATCATCCAGAAACTACAGCACTTGCTTTAAATAATAGCAATAGGTATCAGAACAAGATTTGCTGATTGGCTTGAAAAAGGACACTTTAAAAGTGGGATAATAGTAGCAAAATCAGTGTATTGATGCACAAAAGTGTGTGTGTGTGTAGAATGTCCAAAATACCAGGTGCATCCAGAAATGAGAACCATTGCTGCTGCTC